TCACCCTCGTGTCGTTCTAAACCCGTAAGACCTCCATTCTTCTTCGGAACACAACTTAAGATATTTTTGATGAATTCTGAAACCCTCCCATTGATAGCAATGTAATTACCACGATCAAGGTCCAGAAACGTAGCAAAGAGATCGGTAAAATAATCCATGTCACATCATGGGTTCAACCGTAATTTTACGAAGCTACAAGAATACTTTTTGTACGCAAAGAAAACAAAAATAACGACTTTATTCAACTATTCTTCTCCTCCGCGTCACTCTGGTGCCATTTTGGAGAGTATCCACTGAACGTAAACAGCGTATGCTATTGTGTCAGCTGCGTTTTCTACGTCGTTTACACTTTGATTTGAACGAAAACAACGTATCCGCGTGGTTCAGTTGACACAGAACAGCATACGCTGTTTGCGTTCAGTGGATACTCTTTAAAATGGCGCCAAGGTGACGCGGAGGAGAAGAATTGTTGAATAAAGTCATTATTTTTGTTTTCTTTTCATCGCTTCGTAAAATTACGGTTGAACCCCTGATGTGACATGGATTATTTTACCGATCTCCTTGCTACGTTAATTTGTGTTCCGAAGATGAACGGAGGTCTTACGGGTTTAGGAACGACATGAGGGTGAATAATTAATGACAGAATTTTCATTTTTGGGTGAACTATCCCTTTAACTGTAGGCGGGACTACTGCCGCCATATTGAGCATTATGGTTACACCCATTCATATACAGGTATGTACTAGAAGGCCGACCTCCACTTCTACACAGTTCTACACAGGGAGTGATTCAGGATACAAAACTAAATATTTTCAAAAACTGACTGAATAAGCTCCAAGGTGGACCAGACTTGATACTATATGTCAAAAGACTGGCTATGCAAGACTTCAGCCCATATTGTAGTGCAGAAAAAAAATGAAAAGATGTGACAAAGAAATGTGAACTTATTCTCATTCTTTTAAGCAATTATTCACTTGATAATGGAGGTTTAAGTGCATCTCAGATGGTTAGATTGATAGATGAATGTAGCTGGACTGCAGTAAAGTCTACCTGGTTGGTGGTTTCTCGAAATCCACATCCAGGCATCTCTCGTAGGAGCCGATGAAGATCTCCAACCAGAGTTTCAGGTAGTCCGGGTCCTTCTACGGGTTTCAGACAACAGGAAAACAACAAAGAAAAAGGACAGTGTTAATCATGGAGAGAATTATGCAATCTACTGCTTGGTGCGCCTTTATGCTTTTGGCAGATGCTTTTATACAAAGTGACTTGAGTTGCATTCAGATACACTGTATTATCAGTTCACGCATTCCCTGGGAATCGAAACCATGACCTTGTCATTGAGCTACAGGAATGCTTTCAGTTAGATAGTTATCTTTCTAAGGTGTGTCCAAATGTTTTATGTTCAGCGGGTGGATAATATCAGGTGCAACACGAGACACCTGACTACTAACAAACTGGCCTGACCACATTCCTACAGGAATCGCCAAGCACATACACATTTCAGCATTCCTGAAGACAGACGAGCTTGACCTAGAACAACGCTCCTTAGAAATATCCACACACAAACCCTTTCACCCAGATTACCACGTGCAGAATTAAATCTCGATCAATAGCAATCTGACGAGCTGGCAGCGCGAGTTCATGAAACATGTGACGCTGTAATTGACGTGGCTGGAGTGTATCACGACTCAATGCGGCTGTTTGTGTGGTCAATGTTTAAGCTGTGCTACACTCAGACATCCAGAACAGGAAATCATGCTCAAAAATTCCTCTCGGTGAGATCATCAGAACAGAGCCAATGCACGTCCACAGCAAAAAACAACAGACCACTAGGAGATATGGACAACACAACACCAAAAGGAGTGTGTTTTGGACTTTTCCAAACACAAAAAAACAAGTAGAATGTGTTTATGCATGTGTATGTGTGTGTGTGGAAAAGAAAAGGCCCATTCATTTGGGATCCAGCGGCAAGACACGTCTATTGAGGTCTAGATCTGGCCAAAGGTGGCACACCCTGTTTATTTAGAGATCTCGCCACAGAACGGGCACTGCCTTGCTCCTGATGCCGTTTCCAGCTGGAAGGGTGTGGGGCGAGTCGGTCACATCCACCTACTCATGCATGTCAAGTTCCCAATTAACCCTCTACCGCATGGTGTAGCCATATGGCAACATACTCTTTGTGTTCATTTCCTTGCCACTGTCTCTTTAAGAGAACATTCTCGTTTTTTTTGTTGGAAAGAGAAGACCTTAGTTTAGCCAATGATGTGCTTTGATTAAGTCACATGACATGCAGTTTTTTTTCTGTGGCGAGATTTCTGACAGACTGCCGTCTCTTGTCGTCAGTAACAAACGTCAGTAACAAACAAGGACCAGTCCGTGTCACTCCAGCTGGAAGGGTGTGGGGCGAGTCGGTTACATCCACCTACTCATGCATGTCAAGTTCCCAATTAAACGATTAAGTGGTTCTTCTTCTAAAACTGGTAAACATTAACTTTAAGTAGCCTTTTTTATATTGCACACCCTGGGGGAAATGATTTTGTTGTAACCTGAATGACTCCTGCATAATAATTTAGTAACTTGTCTTGTTTGTTCATGTCAAATTGGCGTGGCTATTGTGTAGGATTTAAGTATCTGATAAATGACTAGTACTTAGTACTAACAGTCCTATTCTGAGGGTTTATTTCAGTAATGGTTATGTATAGACACAGAAAACCGGCAGAGATTGGCTAATGCTGGGCGTATGACCTACAGCCACAACACTGAGCTCACTCTAATCACATGGGCAAGACATTCTGTCCATTTGACACGCCATAATAATTTGTCTTCAAGTATGCAGCATATTCTCTCTCCCGTGATCATTTCCAAATCTGTTATCCTCTCTTTCAAGAAATAGGCTACTGCTGGTTAAATGTAATGTTGTCAGTCTCCACAGAGAATAACGCTGCCTCTCCCCTTGATTTGTAAAAACAAATGAAACATGCATTTACAAGTCAAGCCGACAAGTATTTAAACTCGTCTTGCTGTCTACACAGGCAGAGCCTTCTAAGGCAGTGTTGTGTTAGCATGGTTGCTAAGCTAACAACATGATACTTTAATAGTCCTAAAACTCAGAAACATTTTTGAACTTCTGGTTCCATCGTCCCAAAATAAATGTTTTTTATGAACGGATTTCAACATAACTGCCTGAAATATGGTCTGTGGTTAAAACAAGCTCAAAATAATGTTTTATTCTATGACATAAAATACATCATTAATACTCCATTCATGTTTTTTTAAGCTTTTTGTGTCTTGAAAAAGATGGTTGCTAACAAATGGCTAAATGGGACTACAGAGGCTGTCAGGGACATTAAATGGCATCACACTAAACAGGTACAGTAAAGTCATTACTCACTTTGAGAGTAACGCATTCTTGCAAACTATTTTAACTCAAACTTTCCAGGTTGTAGACTTTTAATAAAAATTGAAAGAGTTGTTGGAAGCTTAATGGTGGTGACATTGAAGTCACATGACAGTGGTGTAGTTAATTTATGGCCTTTTTAGCCGTTTACTTCCAGTGATTGCTCAAAAGTTTACATACTCCTTATACAAAATGTTAATAATTTTAACAAAATAAGAGGGATCAGGAAAATTGCATATTTTTTATTGACTACTGTCCTGAATAAGCTATTTCACATAACAGATGTTTACATTTACTCCGCAAGACAAAATAATAACTGAATTCATAAAATGTATTTGTTCAAAAGTTTACATACCCTTGAATCTTAATACTGTGTGTCGTTACCTGGATGATCCATGACAGTTTTGATATTTTGTGATAGTTGTTTATGAGTCCTGAGCCGCTGAAATGCCAACATTTCTCCAGAAAAATCCTCCAGATCCTGCACATTCTTTGGTTTTCCAGCATCTTCTGCATATTTGACCCATATTTATAAGGAGTTATTATTTGGAGTTATTATTTTGTCTTGTGGAGTAAATGTAAACATCTGTTATGTGAAATAGCTTATTCAGGACAGGACTAAAAAAAATTAAATGAATAAAAATACCATGCGGTTTTCATGATCCTTCTTATTTTGTTAAAATTATTGACATTTTGCATTTCGCAAGAGGTATGTAAAAATTCAGTTGTGTTCATAAAAGTTTATCTTGATGAAAAAAACATGTAAGAATCATAAACTTTTGTTGGTGATAGAACTTACTCTACAATAATTCAAAAGCTAAAGGAAAATACTACTGGCTTTTAGTTGAGGGAACCAGGATGAACTTTTAGGTTGGCCAACAAAATAACATCAACCCTGTAGAAGTCTGACATAAAAAAAAAATTGCTACATATTGAACACAAATGTTGGGTAAGATAGTTTGACTTAAAAAAAAAAAATCAATCCTTTAGTATACTATAAAATAATATAAACTTAGTATATTATTACTGATCGTGTTGCAATGCATTTTGGAATGAGTTTCTCCACGAATGATGCATATTGGATGAATTCGTCAGAAACAAGGTCGAAAAATTATGATGCTTACTGCGTACAGCCTTCATGTCGAGGATGTGCCTATGATGCTTTAAAATGCAGTCTTGGTGGGCAGTGCAATAGGTTCTGGAACAAAGCTACTATTTCAAAGTATAAGCATAACACCTACATATCAACCTCCATGTTTTAGCATGAGACGAGAGCCTATGCTACCTATCCGAAGTAATATCCTTCAACAAATTCACAGGAATTATATAGGCAATGCATAACTTAAACAAAATGCATAAAAATAAAAGCTGTTTTTATACTCTGAAAGATGAGAAATTATTTTCTGTAGCAATCAACAGCACGTCAGTACACAAACATTGGCTTAAAAATAAGAGGAAATATTCTTTTAAATCTGATCTGACTTGATGTCATTTGAACAGACGGTCTCTGCGTTTATTCTCTCTCGTCTAATATTGGAGTTGTGCATTTCAGTAGTCAAATAATCCTTCACAACAGGAACTCGAGTTCCTGCGAGGATCGGATAGGGACTGTTGCCATGGTGAGGAAAGCTGGTATTTGTGAGTGAGACGGCACAGGCCTGCACAGCACTTTCCAGTTGCTCGCTCTCTCTCACTTTAACACATTTTCCTCTTTCTCACCCCACTATCTCGGTTTTCTTACTTCTCTCTCACACTAAATTTTGCATCCTGCTGTCCTCATCTCCTCTCGCTCTCTCATGTGTGTACTATGTAAGTCCTGCAGTGCCCTCTGAACCTGCAAACCAGATGAGATGGCGAAAGAGAAAGAACAACAAGGCAAAAGAAAGCAGCCAAGATGATTTATGGAGCTCGCTAATGTCACGGTCTACAGATGTGCAGGCGGTTTCCATTCATTAACCTGTGTTTTATGAGCAACCACACAGGTGTGCAGAAGATGTTAGGACAACAACTGGGAAATCTGTCCTGGGCCCTGTGATGAAGGGGTCCTGAAAGTCCAAATCTGTTACTATATAGTACTAAACATCATCAAAGCCCCTAAAAATCATAGCTGTTACAATAAAAACGAATATTTGGGTAATGCATTAACAAGTTTCTGATATAGCTGCACGCCTGCCTTTCTGACACTAACGACTGGAGTAATGATGCTGAAAATTCAACTTTGCATCACAGGAATAAATTACGTTTTACAAAATGTTACAATAGAAATCAATTCTTTTAAATTGTAATAATATTTCACAATATTTCTGTTTTTACTGTATACTGGTGGTGAGCATAATAGACATTAAAATTATTCATCAAAATCATGCTGACCCCAAACTTATGAATGGTAGTCTACATATTTTAAATTGACTCATTCATTTTAATGTGGGACAATTTAGCTAACATTTAGCTTTGGTTAAGGACTTAAGTCATTTGAAATTAAAATTTAACAAATATTTAATAATTCATTTTTGTTTAGAGCATATTGAAATTTTTCAAACAGAGATCATAAACATAACGGGTTGAATAGGGAAGGTCGTAAGTTGCTACAAATTAACCTAAGATCTAAAAAACACTGTAAAATAATTGTTTATACAAATTCAAAATCATATATATGTTAGTAATTCATAATACTGTATATTTACATTTACATCTATATTCTTACTATATAAGTGTCTTACCACACGAATAACTAATGAAAAATGT